AATATGATGTGTCTGAAGATTATACTTTTCTCCTTTCTTGCCATTTTTATTGCAAAAGAAAACAGAGTATAATTTCACAATCAAATCTCTTAAAAAGGCCATTTAACTCCTGATATTAAGAAGTGCCCCAACTCCTCTGAATATTCCAATTTTTTGTTCATTTCTAAAGTTTTCCTGCTGGCAGGCCAAGAATGTTTCGCATACTTCACTGTTAAAGTCCATTCTCAAGTATATGATGCAAAAAGGTGGCTTCAAGTTTCTACCCATCACACTTTGAATAAGTTGGCATATTGGATCAGCATTGACTTAACAAAGTATTTGTGATGGGTCAGAAATGCCTGTTCATAGCACCCCACCCAATATAAAATCCAAGAATTTTTCGACATGGGAGCATAAAGAAATTTTTCCCCTTTCAGCAGATGAATGTGGAAACATCCTTCTAGTGTCAAACTCTGCACATACATCATTCTGTACAGTGAATATCAAACATCCAACTGTAGGAACAAGAAGAAAAACATATTTTTGACTGGAGGGGTACTTTAATAATTAGATAAGTGCCACTAAAAACAAATCCAAACGTTGGGATAACACTGCTATAGACATTATCATGGAAATAATGAGCTCCCTAGAACCTATGTAAACATGATCTGTGAAAGCATTTTTTTTCGCTCAGCAGCACTGTGTGCAGTCTGTCCGCAGGCCTGTTTGATCAACAGGTGTCAAATTATCACTGTGGTTCCCATGACTCAGTCAGTGTGCAACTGTAGATTTGGTAGACTGAGTGGGCGCTTCAGAATAATATTGCTTCCCTTCTCTGTGAACTCCCGACGTGCTCTCTCTGTCCCCTCCCCTTCCACAATGACTCATTGTGTTTCTTTCACACTTTGCGCCAGACAGCTCTGTCTGCCTCTCACTGAAGGCATGAAACAATATTTTGAAACAGACGCACTTCCCTTGTATGCCTTCATTACTCTCTCAAAAAGGCCGTCATATTTTTGTGTAAACTGTTGGACGTGGCAGTTTACAACAGTCTCTCCCTTAGTTGTCCAAAGAGGCTGCTCCAGTCAAGAGGGTGAGAAAGGGGTGTTCTACTTTATTGCTGCCAACTTAAATTAGTAATTAACATTTTCACGTCGCCATTTTCCCATGCAGGTCATTAACTGATGTGTACAGGTGTTATTTCCAACAAAGTTGCTGTATCTGGCACTGCATATTTCCGTCTCTTTGTCTGTCATTTTTGATGGAAATCCTATCAGTCCTCATTTTGTGGATGTTTGAATTCGTCTCATGGGTCAATTCAGCTATGCATGCTTAGTCTTGGCTCTGGCAATTGTAACAGCTGGGGGCAGTCAGTAGGTATAAATCATGCAGTCGGTCAGCTTTCCGTGTATGTGTACTCCACCCTGCTGCCCATGTAGCCCAGATCCAGTGAGAAGTGAAGAAAATGTGAGGCTCGGGGTCACGACTCAGCCCAGGATTGGAGGCACTTCTGAACCATTATTGTGATATTACCAAACTTCATTTGCTGTTTCTTTATGTCACTTCCTTTTACGAGATGGTCAGATGGTCAGATGACGGTCAATCCAGGCATGTTGCAGAAAAAAAAACGTTAAAATCCTTAAAGTTCACACAGGATTTACTTTTTGTAGCTCTGCAATAATCATGCTCTCTTGTAAAGAAAAGCAGGTAAGTTGAACTAATTTCAAAAGATTAAATAAAACATTTCCTCATGTGCTGCAAGCAAGTAGTTCCTCGCTGATGCATACAGTACAGTGTTTGTGAGGAACTGAAGCATTGCGAATCAATCAGGCAGTCTTTTGATTCAAAGGGAGCCAAATTGTGTTAAGTTAATTAAGTCTGATAGATGTGTTTGCTTTCATAGCTGATTAAGGTGCTCAGCAGAACCCCTGAGTTTATACTTCATCAAAATACTTCCGAAATCTATCAAGGGCTCTGTTTTTTACACCCTTACCCTCTCATTAATTAAGTTGGCCCTGATCATTTTAGCTGATGTTTGGAGTCTGGCCAAGAAAACATGGACAATACCGGGATACATGTCATGAACACTTTGGTCTTCATACCCTTATCCTGAGCAGCTCAGTTTAAAGGTCAAATTTTTAAACACGTGCTTGTAATGACTGTAAACTATTAAAGACAGACCACAGCGAGATCTTTTGTTCCAAATAATAAAGAAGACCAAAAACAACTTTACGGTTATGATCTGTAATTAATAATGGCCTCTTTTCAGATGTCAGCCAGAGTATCCAAAGCCTTTCCAGGATGACATGATAAGTGTGTTACAGTTCAATTGTGCATCAAAAGAAATAATGAATAGGTCCAGTCTGCAGTGAACTCATTTGGCACTTGAGTAATGAGGAGTGTTGATGAGGTATTCAGGCCTATTCTTTCTGAGCCAAATCTGGTGTCTGAGTCTCCACAGGGTTATTCTCAAAGCTTAACTGTTGGCCCTCAATTGGAGAGTCAAACAAATCTTACCCAAACATTTCTCAGGCTTGATTGCAGCGATGACTGCTCCAGATGTGAAAATGTACTGTGTTGAAATATACCAAAAAAGAACAAATAAAACACATATAGATATATAAACAAAGATCTGTCTTGCCTAAGACACAGTCCATCGATGCCTTTCTCCACCATGTCTTTTGTTATTTTTGCATTTGGACAGAGTATCTCCCTCTCCTGCCAGATTCTGTTATATCACCGAGAGCATGGATGAAAATGTGTTTTCAGTTAATAACTCACCTCATCAGTTTTTCATGGTAAGAACAAAAGAGGTTACAGAGGAAAAGCTTTACGGAGCCCTTTTCTGTCTGTTTATTCTGTGTTGATGTTAATGCGAAGAAGAGTCCAATAAAAATAAAAAGAGACATGAATTTCTATCTTCTTCACCCTACAGCACAAAGTAAAACTAACTTTCTGCTTTCTACAGTGACACTTCTGGAATAACTTTACATACTTATAAGAAATAAATTGCAGACACATGTGGATTGTGTAATTATCTTCAGTCTTGAAGTGATTTATCACATTAGTAGATCATTTTCACTTCTTTAGCATGCATCACTGATATTAGCAGGCCAGATAGCAAAGTGTTTGATGTTTGAAAAGTCAGAACTTTACACTGTTGCATTCAAAATAGTTATTTATGTACAATAAGAAATGTAAATTAACTTACTGAAATTGTAAATGTAAATTACTTTAACATAAACAAAAAAACCTTAAAGGAGTATTCCACAGATTTTGGGCATCAAGTTCATTTTACTTGCATGAGGAGTACTACTAACTGTGACAATGGTTGTACAATGTCCTGCATGGCGCTGGGGGGGAGAAAACTGAAGTCTAAAAAATCACCCTGATTATGTCATAGTGATGTTATCACTTGATGTAACCACTTGGGCTTTAAGACTACAAATGCAAAACAGAAAAGTCTGTGTTACAGGCTGTGGGCAGAAAGCAATCAAGTTGCATTATGGGAAGTGTATGATCCAGTGTTTTTGGAGTTTGAACCTTGGGGTCTATAAATCAGGATATCGCTGCTGCTTCGATTTGATCTATTTTTTGTAATATGTCTCCTGTGGGTCCCCCAGTGCGATACAATATCGCTCGAGTTATGTGCTGTGCTCAAAATAAACCCAATTTGATTTGCTTAACAAATGCTAAAAAGTATTTTAACTATCTTCTAAGCTTATTTGTAGCAATAAAAACATCTTCTCAAAGTGTAAATTGTAAACTTTCTTGACAGAAACATAATTATCTTACAGATCTCCTGATCAAACTCAAAAGGGAACCTGAAGTTGTTTGTGGTTTTTGTATTTACCTTTCTGACAGTAGCCAGGATTATTTTGATTCCACCCTTAAAAAAGTAATGCAATTAGATTGGTTAATTGATTATTTAACAAAACAACTAATTGATTAATATTACTTGTCAGTGCATAGAAAATGGTTTGGAAAGTGTAAACCTGTCAGGAAGAGCCGAGGCAGTATGTTTATGATAGTTGGCACAAACACAAGAAGACAAACAAACATGTAGGCTATTTATCACAAAAGCTGGAAGGTAATTATCAAACATTTTAACTCCATTCTTCACCATCGTGTGAACATGCACATGTGGGGGAAAACATAGTTTCTGATAAGTTACTTAAGAGTCTGTGATGAGGTCAGTGAATGCCTATTTTCTGCCTAGAGTATAACAGCCTTTATCGTGACTGATCATTGCCCAAAGCTGTGGAAAACTAACATGTATAACAACCTCTTACACAATAGTACGTGCCCATTTTTAAAAAAGAATCCCAGCATGAAAACACTGCACTTATGTAATCGTAGATGCTTGAAGAACTAATCATTATCACTTCAAAATTACTTTGTAACAGCATTGTGGTCAGGCAAAATAAATTCATGCCAGGACTCACTGGCTGAAGAACAAACTGCATCATGTCACTGAACGCAACAACAAGTCCTCAGAGGGCCTTTACTAGATTTGCACTCCAGCCTGAGCAGTAAAAGTATTGTGGGAAAAAACAGTAATAAAGATTCTGAGGAGGTTTATCACAGTTTGTATATAAGTCAATCACACTGAGCATCAGAGAGATACTGAGATATCTGTGCAGCACAGACGAGCTGAGCTCCAATGGACTGGAAAATAGTATTTCTGCAGCATGTCAAATCTCTGCCATTTGGCACAGGCTCCTCATTACCATCAAATATACCGCTAAACATGAAAAGGACCCTCAGACTGAAGACCAGGTGTTTGCCTGATTGCATAGATCAGGAAACTACCGATTGTTTGAAATAATTTACCAGACCAAGTCCAGTCTTTTCAGTGTTAATTTCAACCACATTGTCATATATGTTAACTTTTTGTGTTGTAGTTTTACATTTCTAATATTTGAGATTTGTGTAACAATAATTTGCTCACACAGCCATTTATCTTAATTTCAGTTGTGTTTGTGTCATTAAATTGATTTAATCTTCATTTTTGCTTACTTATTGGAAACAAATAATTAGATAATTGATAGTGAATGAAACAAATGATATAAAATGAAAACAAGTTTGTGAAACAAAAGTATAGTAATCATTAAGTATCTGTTGGTTGATTACAGAAAGCACTTTGCTTTACTGTATGCAATACATATATTATCTACCACTTAATACATACAGAAGCTGGGAAACATTCACACATGAATGTAATAATGTAGAATCCCATGAAATAGTACCTATTGATTTATTCCACCTGGGCTGAAAGTGCATTCCACATCTGCAAGCTTCTCTGAGGAAAAATAATTGAAATCATATGAAGGACAAGACCGTGAAATCAAAAAAGGGAATGAACAACAAAAACAGAACATGACCAGAAATGAAAAAGCATCCATTGTAAGCTTGTGAGCCTGACATATGACGTCTCAACGTATTGTGTAATAAGACATGATCATTTATGTGTTTAAAAATGTGGACTGTCAATCATATTGGACTCTGCAGAGGTCTGTTCAAAGTTACAAACAAGCAATGCTTGCGAGGTTTACATTTCAAGGGAATGTAAATATGAATAAACAACACAGTGACAACATTGGGGTTTTGTTAAATTATTTAATGAAAGTAAACAGTTCTGTTGTTTGTCTTCACTGGTCAGAAGACGAAAAGTGAAATTAAAGAAGGAAGTCAGAGCAGTCACGTATAAAGCGGCATTGCTTCAGCACATTTCAGCAGGGTGGAGGCTTACGAGACGTGTGCTGGAGTCCATTTCTTCCTCACTAATTAGCACAGCCTGTTGCCTAATATTGAAATTAAACATATCAAACTACAGGCTGCGATGTTCGAGGTCATGTTTATGGAGACAGGTTGAACCAAAGGAAACACTGGAACCTCTTCCTGGACAGAATACAAATGTACACAAACACTTGAAATTGTCTCTCCCCAGTCAACGTTTTATTGCTGCAGCTGAACTCAAGAGGCAAACAGTTGATGTGCATGCATTCTGGTCATTGCAGAGGTGGAGCAGCTGCTCAAAACCATCATTCAGTCCTTGTCACATAGTATTAATCAGACAGACAGTCGTTTCAGCAGATGCCACCCAGTCACAACTCGACATTCATTCTAATGAACTCTGTAGCTTCTCCTGCTATAGTTCAGGCCAGGGGTTCTCAATCTGGGGGTCGGGACCTCCACTATACACAATGGGCCTGTATCTCAGCATTTCATTAATTTCTTTGAAGAAAAAAAATAAACCCTATTATAGTATGTATAATTGTTTGATTGTATGATTGTTACAAGATTATACAGAGACATAATTGTATATAAAGTTCCTTAATATATCAGGGAAACTCATCTATGATTCAGTATTCACAAGAAATAATTCAAAATTCCTCTAAATTGCTGTTTTAGACAATCGTCCTGCATTTATTGCGTTGGGTTACTACTTGGATTCATGCAGTTTATCAGTTGTTTTGCATTTAATATAATATATATAGAAATATCCATAAAATACGCCACTTAGTCAGAAGTCATCAGTTTACTCATTGATAGAAAAAGGTGTGTTTTAGTTGGGAACCACTGGGCTAGACTATAGGTTTGTTGTTGATAACTAAATACATTTGTTTTTTACAGGCAGTTTCATTTCATCTATGATTAATCAATCAACATGCAAGATTCACTCACCACTACTTTTATTTCTGACATATTGGTCTTCACATAAATTCCACTCACACCAATTGTATGTGGACATTTCCATGGTGTTATTCAAGGCAATTCAGGTATAGTTTCAGCTCTGTTTTGGTTGGTGTTTCTATCAGACTCAATGCTGGTTGCTTGTTCCATCGTTTTCTTGTGTACCATCTTGTACTTTGTTTTCATATCCCTCAGCAGCAATAGAGCTTCCCGCTTGTTAACGCCTGTGCCGTGTATGGCGCTGCCTGTTGAGAAAACACAGTGTTACATAAAGAAAGGTACGGTCATGAAGGGTTAAGTTCGCTGACAATCATTGGATCAGAAATGTGCATACTTAAGGGAACTGCTTTTATGGCTGTACTCTCTTTGATTTCCTTGATCATTTCATCAACCCTCTCTGTTGGCTGCTTTATTGGTTTCAAAGGTGGAAGTTGCTTAATCTGTGCACAGAAAAGAATTTAAAAAGTCCTAATATTAAGGTGATAACATTTTCTTTACAGTTCTCGCAAGATTTATTACAATTTGACAGTAATACTGAGTGTGAATGCAGATTTATTTTGTGTCACAAAATATTCAACCTTTTTCTCTCTTTCTCTGTACGGTGTCTGGATGCAATCAAGCTTTGGTTTCGAGTCTCTGTAAACATTAAGATTCTTCAGTGTGTGTTCCAGCATCCGAACAGCTGTTTGAATTCCTGTTGGGAGAGAAAAAAAAACGATTTTCCCCTTCACTATGGGGTGATTGTATAGCCAGACCTTTGAAAGCTTGAGGAAAATGTACAAACAATAAAAACGAATAAAAAGCCGCAGGTGAAGCTAGAGTCCTCACCAACGGGCTCCACCACATCACAGTTTGGTTTTGCATCCATCAACGTTTCGTGGCTCGTGAATTCTTCAGGAATGACTCTGTCCTTGTTTCTGTCCTTGTTTTCTGCAGTTTCTTTCTCATCAGCTCGAAGATCAAACTCAAATTCACAAACATCTGTTGCCTGAACATCAAACAACATTCAGCAAAGAGAGACAATTATTTGAAATGTAAGAAACTGTGGAATGGTGGAAAGTAACTAAGTACATTTACTCAAGTACTGTACTTTTTCTTTATGCAACTTTCTACTTGTAGTCCACAATATATTTGTATTATAAAGAACTTTTAATTCACTACAAATATTTTAGTTACTAGTTACAAATTAAGATTTTTGCACACAAAATATATGAATAGTGTATAAAATAAGTTGTTTTGTTATAAATTAAATTACACAACAATATGTGCAAGTACAGCTGATACGTTTACTTAATTATTTGTTTAATTGACAGAAAATAAATGGCAACTATTTTTGATAAATGTAATTTTCAGATGCAGATACAGATTGCTGTATTTTAATCATTATAATTTATTTTTAATACTTTGGAGGTTTTGACTATTGGTTGGACAAAACAAAGCATTGTGAAGGTGTCACATTTCTCAACATTTCTCACTATTTTCAAAATTTCTACAAACCAATCAATCAGTCGCTTAATGGAGAAACTACTTCACAACGAGCTCCACCTCAACCAACTACAGTAAAATCCTCCTATAATATAAGATAGTTTAACAGTCACAGGGGACATTTTTCTTGATTATACTTTTACTTACTTAACATTTTTAATGCATGACTTTTACTTGTAATGAAGTATTTCCATGGTGTGGTATTAGTACTTTTACGTTCAATAAGTAAAGGATCTGAATACTTCCTCCACTGCTGGTAGGCACTAATCCACCATTTTGAAAAGCATTTATAAACCAAGTGGTTGTAGAAGTTAGATTTCCAAACCAAGAGGAGCAATATCATAACAACTGTGTACCTGAGTAACAAAGAAGTGCTCTGTGTTTTCCTGGAAGGTGTCGTCTTCGCTATTCTCACCCTCAGATTCTGGCGTTCTCTTATGAGTCACCTCACTTTCCTCACCCGGAGCACGACAAGGAACATCCATCAACAGTGACTTCTTTGACACCTTTGGGACTCTTTCTTCCACCTGCAATCCAAAAAAGTAAAACAAGAAAATAAAAGATGAATCGTTTAACAGTTTAACTTTCATATAACATAAAATCTGGAGGACGATGCAACACAACCTTCCATTTTGGATCTGTTGACACCTTCAGTGGGAGCTTAAGGACTTCCTGTGTCTTCTTACGCTTTATTGTTATCCCCAGTCGCTCTTGGAGGTAATGGGTCAGTAAAGGAGGGTCTCCTGTGTTAACAAAAGGCATAAAAGGTGATTTCAGCAACTGAAAATTCAAAGCCAATCTCTAAAACCAGCTTCTTATAAGGAAGAAGATAAAAGGGTTACCACTTCTCTGCGTGGTCAGAGGGTTGGAGTAAATGTCAATTTCTCGAAGAACTGGGAAAAGAGCGGCAGCCATCAGCGCTTCTTCCTTGGCAATCTGATGACAAAACACTGATGAGACATGTTAGCTCGTTTTTAAAAAGGAGTCGTGGTTCATTTATTTATACAAATTATTCAGCACACCTTGTTGTTGGATAAATTGAGGAACTGAAGCTCTGGTAGTGGCACACTGGATGCTCTGCAGCACTCCTCCCAGTTTTCCTGCTGAAAGATGCAGGGTGATGGACAAAGACACAAGTTTAATGCAGATTTAAAATATGGGCTAAAGAATCAAACACCAACTGTAGAACGAATTACCTCTGAGAGTCTCTTGAGATGTTCATCGGTGTTACGATTTGGCTCAGTGGAAGCTGAATTGAGGGGATAAAAAATTATTAAATCGATCTTATATTGAGGATGTAGAGGAAACTATGACAGGCAGGTCCATTATTGAGTTCTTTACTGAGCATTTACCATGTCCCACTTCTTCTTCAGCAGAAGTCTCCAAAGGTTTCAAAGAGTCCATTAGTTGCAAACACGGTATTTCAGAAATGCGGTTCCCCTGCAGGTTTAAATACTTTAGCCTGTAATTGACAATTTAGATATTCTCAATGAATGTTTCCACAGGATTTGTTATGCATCTAGTCAGTCTTTAGTAATACTTTATTTTCTATAGCAAACTCCAAAATACATGATGACCTCTTGAGGTTTGCAAGACTGTTGAAGACTCCAGAAGTCAGTTTGTTATCATCAAGCATCAGGACTTCAAGAGCTTTAAACTGTGTGTCTTCTTCTTTAGCTGGCCTGGACAAAAAATAGAGAAAGAAAATCAGTACAATTTACCACCATCATAAACTCCCCAGTGATAAATACTGAATGTATTTCAAAATGCAGCTGAAACCATAAAGTTACAGGAACATACTATATACAGTATGTGTGCACACCTTTTATAGCTGGACTCTATATACCTGTCTGTAGAGCAGGTGTATTAAATGCCATTACATTTACTTCAGCAGCATCAGGAGAGTGAATCTGGAGCATTTGTGCGCCCCCTCTTGGTCAGTTTACAAACTGTTTTAAAATGCACTTGAGTTTGTGGCCTCTCTCTGTCAGTAACTGTTTGCATAAGTGGTGAAATGTAACTGAGGACATTTACTCAACTACTATACTGAAGTACAAATTTGTATATAATTCTTATATAATATAATTCAAGGTACTTATACTACACTTGAGTATATCTGAGTATTTATGCAACGTAATACTTCTACTTCACTACATCTCACAGGAAAATATGAAACTTTTTATTTGTCTGACAGCATTAGTTACTAGTTTTCAGACATTTGTCATACCTTTTCTGTCAGTGTACTTTTAAATGTCTCTGATAAACGTGTTTCTCTAATGGGTTGTGAAAATGATCCTGTTTCTTAAGCTAAATAAACTATATATAATAGTCACAAAGCTGAAAACAGGGCTGTTTTTCTGAGCTCATGAAAACATATGAATAGAATATGATGCATTGCTGTAGATTCAACTACCCAACATTATATAAAGTAGTTCAAATGAGCTCAACATTAAACATATAAAGCAGTAAAATGCAACATACACATTAACACAGCGAAAACATTATATCTAATAGTAAAACACTGACTGGGACCATTTTTCTGCACAATGAGTACTTTTACTTTTGGTTCTTTAAGTACATGTTGCTGATAATACTTACATATTTATACTTAAGTAAGGTTTGAATGCTGGCCTTTTACTTGCAGTGGGCTATTTTTACAAGTAAAGGATCTGAATACTTCTTCCACTGCTGGTTATGTTATAAAATCACAACAATGTACTGATTGTATACTGATAAGCATGATTGATAGACAATGAGTCCGCGTTACAAATGATGACTGACATACGGTATATGGTTTGAAAGATCACTATAAAAGAATAAAACATCTGTGTCATCAATGGTTGACTTATTATAATAACTTTGAATACATTACAATTTATTCTTATTCATGAACTCATGTAACCATAAAGGCATGCTGATACTTTGTAAGAAAGATGTTGTATTATGTATGCTGCCTGCTTATGGACATCAAAGATCTTTTCTTTTAGTGATAATTGTAAGAAGCAGACTGGAGGAAGCGTCCAACTGCAGTTAGAGAGTAAATTTGCATTTTACTGTGGAAAACATGTGATGAAACAGATTAATTGTCTTTCATTCTGCCAGCTTCTCCATGACTCATATCAAAGTTCTTTGTAATAACTTTCATATGGAAAGTAGGCTTTCTGCCACAGTCTCTCTGGCAAAACAGCCGTTACACAAAGCTGTGCTCGACGAAGCTGACCTGTGTGTGAAGTATAAAAGCAAGACCACACTCGCTAATTTAATCACTTATCTATGTGTTTTTGCCATTCTTCCCCAGAACAAATACTGTTAAAAGAAAAGCGGATTATTTTGTGCCAAAGGGGACAGATAAAAGACTCTGATGAGCAAATTAATGCACTTTAATGTCAATCATCTGCGCTGACAAGGCAAGTTGTCGGCCCAAAGGTGAAGCAGTTTTGAGTAGTAAGAATGCTATAAATATATTTTTTTAAATACCCACGACAAACTCTGTTTCTACTTCTCTTCGTCGAAAATAAAGTACTAACAGTTGGGTGGCGTTGGAAGAACCCAGATTAGGAGGAAGATGATGAAGCTGATTTCCAGTCAGATGAAGGACTTTTAGACGTGGAAGGCGACCAAAGGAAACAACATCATCAGCCGACAAACTGTTGTAGGATAAATCTAAAACCTGTGAGCATTAAAATAAATTGTTTAGATAAACATGTCAACAAGATGAAATATAAAAAAGGGAGAAGTTATTGTTACAAGCAACAATAAGATATTGTTATCTGAAATATTACCAATGTCACAGACCTAACTCAATAAACTCAAACATGAAACAGGTACAAATATTAAAATTACATTTCTCATGAGGCATGATGCGGGAATCAGTAGATACACAACTTAAACTGATAGTAAATGGTTTCCTTGTCTGTCACTAGTTGATATCAAAGCTCTTTTATTATGAAAGAAATGAAGATGTGGAAGAAGCTGCAAAATGAGGAGAGGAAGTGGACTAAAGAAGATGAGGAATACGTGGAAATAAAAGGCTTTCAAGTTCTCGTTAGGACTAAAAAGACGTGTGAAGTTGTATATTACTCCTGTGACAATATACAACATTAGAAATAGTAATACCACTTGTGTGTCTAATTTGTCATCTTACCTCGAGATGAGGGAAGTCAGCAGCTTGAAACGTCATGTTGCAAAGCCCGTTTAATGACAGATTGAGTTCTCTTAAAGAAACTAAATTGCTGAAAGACTCTGCAGGAAAACACGTGACATTTTCTGGTGACTTTTTTGCAAGAGGCACAAAATCGTATTGAAGGTGAATCTGCATGATATGAGAAGAATCACCTAAAGAGAGGGAGTTAACAGACGCGTCGATGTAAGCCACATTGTCAAACACCTCGAGGTCTTCTGTCTTGACCTGTGCACCGTAAGAAAAAGACACTCAACCGTTTTTAAACCAAAAAAACTACCAAACAATTATAAAATGTAAAATGTGACATGTGGCTCTTACAGAATTCAGTTTCTGCTCACTGATGTCGACCGAGCAGAGCTCAGACGGCTTGTCAACACGATGTAACTGGAGCTACAAGAGAAAACTGAAAGCTGTGGGTTATATTCTGTCAAATAAGCAGTTCTCACACAAGTAGATTTCAGTGCCTTACCAGGAAAGGTCCATCTAACGTGTTACCATGAGGAGCATCGGCCTCCCTGTTCTCACATTCATTGTAAGTCTCTATTATTCTTCTGTGCACATTGTTGTATTTCTGCTCCTCTGCTTTCCTGTAATCCACAAGCCAATGACCAGCACCTACAGGGAGAGTCAAATTCAATGAGATCATGCAGATTCAGTAGATTAAATGATTGACTCACTGGCAAAAAATACATTAATTAATGACAACTAATATTACCAAGTATTTACATTTATGAATAGCTTTGTGGTTGTTGTTGTTTTGGGTTTTATTTATTGTTTTTCTCATTGCTAAAGAGAAAATATTATTAAATTATAACTGTTAATTGCATTGCCTTTCTCTATCTTAATAACAATGTACTATACGTGCCCTAACATACTAAGTTAAGTTAGTTAAGTTAACTAAATGTTTATAATAGGCTCATTAAACTTAACCCACCTTCTTTTCTTCGATGGAGTAATGTCCGGGCGGGGAAACATTGGGCAGGATATCTCTGTCCATCATCAAATTTATAGGATGCTGCAGTCATCTTGTTGATTATCACTCTTCTCACGTTAACAACGTTAATAACTTTAACTTTAGTTACTTTGCTGCAGCGTTTTTGATCTTACAGCTACACTGTAATGCTCTGTATCCTAGCAACAGCATGTAAGACGAGGCGCTGCTCCTCCCGTCCAGAGGGGGGCGGTAGGAGGTGACACTGAGACCTCTCACAGGCGAAGGCGGAAGAAACCGCTGAGCCCAGCTAGTCAAAGATTGATTTCGGTGATAAGATAATGCACCGCCAAGCCAGCCCGCGGTTCTTTGAGACATTAAACACCGTGGTGTTCAGAAGATGCGTTTTTCACACATGACACAAGGCGTTCAGTTACCCGTCGAGATGAATTCACCTTCGTGTTCCTTTAAACTGCTTAGCCTCTAAGCGGAATCGACCACAGTGCGCATGCGTGACGCAGGACGCCGGAGTCACTTCTTGTTTTCTGATTGCGCTTATCCCCCAGCAGTTAGCAGCGACATTGTCTGCTATTTAGATAGTGTGCTAGCGAAAGTAAACTCCAGCAACTGCTTAGACCGAGCTGAGTCTCTGGAGCTACAGCCAAGGTTGGTAGTTAAACCCCATCGTCTATACCGTCGGTGGTAAGGACGCGTATAAGCGAACACGGAAGTGAGTGCGACGGCTTCTCTCGCTTCGGTGGCGTCGTCTTTTCTGATGAACCCATAGCATCAGTGTCGTGAACATCAGAGGTTGCTGGTGTGGCGTGAAATTGGACGGTATAATGCCGCTCACGCAGAGATCAAGGGCGACAAATGTGAAGGTAAGGGATTTGTCATGCATGCACAGCAGACGTTAGATGCAATTTGTAACAATGCAGTCATATGTGTCCTCGAGGAGCTGCTGCGAGTGTGAACTCTTCCTGTGAGTCTGGGCTTAAAGAGATTGTTATAAGAAGACCACAAAATGAGCCAAGACTTGTCATGTATTTGTGTAACATTTGTTGTTCACAGGAGCTCTAATCCACCATGGGAAACACACCATCAAAGAGTGGCAGCGGAGAGGAGCCGGTCAAAACAACTTTGTTTGAAAAGGAGCCAAGTGGCATAACATACAGAATTCCTGCTCTCGTTTATCTGAGGCACAGTCACACCTTCCTCGCCTTTGCAGAGAAAAGATCCTCGCCCTATGACCACGATGCCAAAATTCTTGTTATGAGAAGAGGAGCGTTGAAAGATGATGGATCTGTTCAGGTTGTTATTCACACGCAATAACCGGGACCCTTTGCTTCAATGCTGCTAACTGTCAACATTACCTGTGCTCGTCTTTTTTAATTGTTGTCTTTTGTCATGTTTTTTTTCCAGTGGTCGTCCAGTCAGGAGCTGTTAACAGCATGTCTGCCCAACCACCGCACTATGAATCCTTGCCCTGTGTATGAAAAAAACAGCCAAACACTGTTTTTGTTTTTCATCTGTATCTGGAGGAACACCACAGAGATGAGGCAGATCCTCACCGGGAAGAACAAGGCCCGTCTTTGCTGTGTTAGCAGCAGCGACGACGGGCAAACCTGGAGTCAAGCGAAAGACTTAACAGAAAGCGTGATTGGCGATACGATCCACAAGTGGGCCACGTTCGCCGTGGGTCCAGGCCACGGTGTGCAGCTGGAGAACGGCAGATTGATCATTCCAGCGTACGCCTATTATGTCCCTCACAGGTGTTGTTCCTACCCAATTCCTTTCACGGTCTACCCACGTGCACTGTCAGTATATAGTGAGGACTTTGGCCAGACGTGGCATGTCGGTAAGATGCTTCGAAAAAAGTCGTGTGAATGTGAAATGGCGGAGATCATAGACCACGAGGGAAGGAGTCATCTTTACTGCAATGCTCGAAACACTGGAGGTCACAGATGTGAGGCCCTGAGTGAAAACAGCGGTGTGTATTTTGACAAACCCCACATTGCTCCAGAGCTCGTTGAACCACCTTCCGGCTGTCAAGGCAGCGTCATCGGCTTCCCAGCTCCTGAATTTGTCCCGAATGAAGATGCTGAAAGCAAAGCCTGTGGCACATCGCTCTTGTCTCCAGACACGCAAACCTGGCTCCTCTTCATCCACCCGACCAACAAGTCTAGTAGGAGGGACATGGGCGTGTACTTGAACCGATCCCCCCTGCACTCGTCAGGATGGGACCGTCCCAGGATCATCCACAGGGGACCCAGCGGCTACTCAGACCTGGCTTACAGCGGAGACAAGGATCAGTTTTCGTGCCTGATGGAGTGCGGGAAAGAAAGTGAACTCGAGCAGATTGCGTTCATGTCGTTTACCCTTAATGATGTCATGCAGACAGGCAGTAAGAAAGACAAGAAGATGCGTTGAATCGCGGTTGCTTTATTTCTGTGTTAACAAAGCTCTCTTTAACATTCTCCCGCAACCTAAAAGTCCAAACAAAAAGCCACTAAATATGCCGTGCAGTCACATCTGTCTGTGTTTACTGTTGTTCTACATTCTGGAGATGATGATGATGATGCATGCATGAGTCGTGTGTTTTGTTGTCTCCTTGTTTACATAAAAAAAGTAATTCAAGTCTTAATAGTATCAATATGCAAGCAGCTGTCTAAGGAAGGAAACTATTTTTCAAAGGTTTGGTTGCTGATTTCGAGCATGCTGTGCTGGACTGCCATCTTTAAAACAGGCTTTGTGTGTAGCATGTTTGACAAGTACTTCATACCCATTTCTGCATCTTATTAGGCTGTCAGTGTTTTCTGAGCAGTGGAGAGAATTTGCCTACCTCTTTTTATTTTCATATGAAGATCATAGCAGGCCTTGTAAAGTAGGGCGTAGGGTTTCCTCTATGCTCAGTCTCTCCTTAACATTTAGTATATATACTCTGATTCACATATGCCTTCTACTCCACTGTTTCAACTGAAGCTGTGCCACAACCTGTCAGTGCACACCCTTTCTTGTCGGTCACAGTGGGTGCCGCAGAGTTGGCGACCGAACTGGACACAAAAGCCCTTCGCTTTTTACTTGCCACATCCAGCTAATCAACGAAGAGACCAACCGAACTGTATGACGTCTGTGGGTTTTTAAAACATTTGATGGATTACTAGAGATATACGTCTGTCAAGAGCATTTGGGGCTACTTTGTACTGTACACTGATTTTTTATTACATTCATTTTCAAAAGCAATATTTCACTTGGTTACATTGTTTACTTTCAGCGCACTTGGCATGGTTTTCTTAACAGCCTTTTTTTTTTCCCTCCTGGCATTAAGTGCAGCATTATGACCAGATATGATTGGTTGGCTGTTGGTTATCAAATGAAAGCATGTAAGAGCATGTAACAGCAGATGAAGACTCACCATTTATAAAGCCACTAGGAATTTGCACACACAAAACCTTGTACTGGGCGACTTTTAGCGTCCTTCTTCGCCTAATGTTGTGAGGCAAAAATGCCTCCAGGTGGTTCAACACTAGTTTCATTGTGTTTTTGTTGACTGTTGTGGAAAGTGACAAAACTTGCATGAAACATGTATTTTAGTAGAAAATAAAAGTAACCTGTGATCACCCAACTCATCTTTTGTTCAATTATGCACACATTTGTATTATAGTGCAATTACAGTAATTATTGCTTTTAATAGCTGACTGTTGGGATAAATCATTTAAAAAGACAAGTTAAACAGTAATCACCTGTAGACAGGGGTAAGGGATAAAATAATAGAGAGGGCATAGATGTGGTTTTAAAAGCAGCTATAAAAAACACTTTATCAGCTGTAGGGAGTATTTCATTCCCTCAGCAGCTAAAGGGGGCTTATGGCATGTTGAAATGTTGTGAAAGGCTGTTGTACAGCGGCCTGTGGGGAGTTGAGCGTGATTCACCAGATGTGCAGACAGCAGGGATGAATTAAGGACAGGGAAGAGTGTTTTAAGTTGAGGACAGAATGTGGATTTTCTGTATTCAAGTTTTCCAAATAATATGATGTCTCTTCTGGTATGGGTGTTGTAGTTATTGATTGGTTTACATGCAGTATCTGGACAAATTAAAATGTAAAGATCCCCTCCAGACATGTATTAAGACATATTTACAAATAATTAGACCTGAAGAATAATGTGTGTCTGATGTTTTTCTGTCAAAGTATAAATTTCACAATAAAAACCGAAAATTAAAATGTCCAGAATCTTTAATATGCTAATTTTGTTTTCCTGCTGGACACAAGATGTCTCCTATTGTGAAGTCCATTCTCAGTGTGTGTCACTGGTGGCTTCAAGTTTCTACATCACATTTGAATAAGTTTCAAATTGGACCAGGATTGACTTGCAAACAATTTGTGATGTCACAAATCCTGTTCATAGGCCCCGCCCCTTAAAACCAGATTTTCAGTGAGCACAGAGAAACTTTCCACTTTCAGCAGATAAAATTGAAAACATCCTTCTAGTGTCAAACTCTGCACAGACATTATTCTGCACAGTGAAGCTCAAACATTCAACTGTAGGAACAAGAAGAAAAACATATTTTTGGCTGGAGGGGGACTTTTTCTCATAAAATGATTCACTAATACAACTTGAAAATTGTTACTTGTGATAATACGCTTAGCAAGGCCTCCACAATGATGTTGCATCCTCAGTAAAAGCTCAAAGGATAAAGCTAATGCTATTCTAAACTTGTCTTATTGTCAACACATCCCATGAAAAGAGCAAAACCAACAATATGTCCATTAGTTTCCCTATTTCTGACTTCCTATTTCTCCCAGTGTGTGGCTCACTGATGTGTTGTTGTTAATAGTTTATTGGACAAAGTAGAGGCATATAGCACAGAGGAATAAGATATCAGACCAGGATCTGGCTTCAGAGGCACCACCAGCCTCATTATTTAAGTCAACTTAAAAGGAAGAAGTAAAGAAACACTATTTGTGGTTTTCTAATTGTGGTTCTTCTTGACACCCTGATGTTGACTAACCAATTTGAGGTCATTGAGACAACTTTAATGTAGTAATGCAGTAAATGTAGTAAATGGTGCAAGCACTCAACCCTCCCTTACTGACAGGGATTGTCTTGCTCCATTCAGTTATTAAAATTGTGAGAGGATTTCAGTTGACATCCGTGCCCTTGGGTACACAGCAGCAGCTACAGGCCACATGGGACCTCAGTGCTGTGCCTCATCATTATTTTAATCACTGAACTGGTACAAAAGCAACAAAAAGGCAAGGTATTATGTGTACTTTATTAGATGTGGTGGCTTAAAAATCCCAAATGTGCTCATCTGCTGACCGGCCATTTCACTGCTTTCTGTTTTTCATCACCTTGTTCAGCCAGCGTCTTCACAGGAATGATGAATCATGTGGTGAAACCTGCTTTTCTCCGACAGCGTTGGCGGTGACACATCCAACATATGATCATGTTTATCAGAGGGTGGCTTGCTGTAATACACACACACACATATGTTTCATGTATCACTCTGGTGACATTTGGGAGTCCAGTAACAGAGAGGCTAGCAGCGTTGGCGTCACAGATGTTTTTCTGTTTGTGGTAAGCATGTGTGTCGTCCCAGCAGGCTCTGCTCTTTTAGCAGCACAGGGGAGTCGCGGCTGTCACATTGTTCTTGTACTATCCATTTGAACGACCCTGGGGCTCACAGGTGAAGAGCTTCCAGACATTTGGGAGGATGACAGGAGTCCAACAGTCTGTGGTCTGAGTTATTTTTTGATTGTCTTGACTTTGACTTGGTAGCTCTAACTTTTTTAAAACCTGTTATTTGCATGTTATAGTTGTCTTTTTATGTCTTGATTGTTTTTCCCAGAACATATAAATTACCTCCTTCTGATTAAACAGATTTAAGAAGAGAGAATGCTTTCCAAACTTCAAAATATATCATACTATAACATGCTAAATGGCAATTTGCTTTGAATTTTGATATGCAATGGTTTATCGGTGTGTACACTCGGTTAATAATTCAAAAGTGCCATTTTTCAAACCTTCATTTTGGTCTGGGCCTCTGTTATGCATATAATGAGTGAGTCTGCAAAACAAAGCTGTTTGTCACACATCTCACCATGGATAATAAAAAGAAAGTCTGTTCACGTCCACTAATACAATTTCACTCAACACTCAGGAATAGAATGGTTAATGGATACTAATGTGCTAAATCTAGCTAGAATATAAACGTCTCCAAAAAGAATATATCTCTTTCATTTCATATCCTGCAGATGCACAGACAGAACTGTAGCACTATTGCTATGCTCTACACCTGTTGCTGACAGTGTCTACATTTGTCCAAAAACGTTTCAGTTTTCAGTGTAAAACTACAGGATGTGAATATCCTCACATGGGTTGACTTACATGTTACAGCATACAGCCTTATATTGATTTCCTGATTTATTTTGAATAAAGGGGACAAGGGGCAGCCCACATATTTCCAGTCATTCCAAAATCCTAAGCCTGTCACTATGACTGAAGCCTTGGTTTGTGAGTTGTACCTATTAAAAAAATTTAAACCAGATGTGTGGAAATAGTATAGATTCCTAAATACAGAGCAGGGAAATCCGGTGTCTATCTGAGATGCAATAAACATATGCGTTTCTTAACAAAATAAATGTAAGGTAAAGGGATTCCAGTATGTTTTAGTGCTATTTTGAAGTAAGACGTATATATTTTCATGATTATCATAAAATCGTGTATTGCAATTATTTACTGCTGCTTGTTCTATCTGCATAAAATGTTGATTGAAAGTCATCATAGTTGTGTTAGTAATGGATGACCTTTTGTAAACGCTACCATGACAGCTCTGCAGGTTTTTATGTAACAGGTTCAAACACAGAAAGAAACATGTTGTGTGTTTGGTCCCTTTAGGTTAGATAGGTTTGAGCAACAGACATGATACATTCAGTGTAAGTAGTCTCGTCTCTCTTTTGGTTTCTCCTTGTTGCAAGACAGTAAAATATAAGTTATGCAGGCAAAGTTACATTTTCAAGGTTTGATTGAAGTATCTATGTACACTGGAAGCTACACTCAGTTGAACTGTACATCATCACAGAGTCACAGAGGGGAGCAACATTTCAGATGCTCCTTCAGGAATTCTTTCATGATTCATTTAACCTTTTATCTCATTATCTCGCTGCCAAACAGATAACCCTATTTACAGTACAATTTAACCTTGTACCAACTGAAACAACTTCATGTATCAAAACACATCCCACTCTGGAGATTAGTGCTGTTTTCATGGGAAATCACAAAAGGAACAAATCCTCTCTTCACATTACAAAGTATTGAAGTCAATACAAAACTAAAGGGAATAGACATGAAGAGCACAGTATAAAATGAGTTGTGCGTGTGTGCAAGAGTCAAGGGAACAAATAATACAGAGAGTAAACTCCCAGAGAAATGAGCAGAGAAGCTATATTTTCAGGCTTCCACAAAAAAAAAGTTACATTTGCTAAATCTTACCCCAAGTGACCTGTGGCAAGAGTAATATCACATTTGATAAACTCAAGACTTATGTCCTATCATTTGAAAACTACTAGTTCACCACAGTGTGTCCAAATCTTTGTGTCGGATGCTCAGTGACCTTGCCATATAGTCCAACTGCCTCAAAACCTTTGATTTAGGAACAATGATGCTCTTCGCAGGAACGGCATCGTTGATACAGTTTAGGACAATACAAACAATATATGTAAGATGGACACACAGCCGTGTCTTCAGACTGTCTTTAAAGCAAGAGTGCCCACCAGCACGGATCCTGGATTGAACTGCCAGACCATTTAGAGTAAAAAAATGGCTTACAAGGGCACTGCAAATCTACATAAGCCATAAAAGCCATGCCACATTTACACCCCATTAGGGCTATTCTCTCTTAAAGGGACATGCGCACAGTTTACAAACAGAGGAGGCAAAAAGACTGCTGAGAAAGCAGCAGGGTTGGGAAAGTTACTTTTTAAATCTCACCCACTACTGATTCCTGATTGCCAAATTTAAGTTGTTATAACTAACATAATGCACTTTAATTTAAAAGCCAGTTACAATATGATCCATTCAATTTAGATCTCGTATTTGTTATTCCAGTATGTGTAAAAATGTGTCAATTTATCTTTTTTTTTTAAAGCATGTGATCAGTTCTTTCTTTAAACTTACACCAGACAGGATTAGGGTTTTTTTTTTTTTTTTTACGGGTAGAGCACTGTACTGGCTCTACAAGTAATCCATTGTTCCCAACCCTGTAAAGCAGTGAGCGTGGCAGACCAGTCACATGCACACTATGGGAAATGTTAGGCTAGACACATGAGTACTAACCTTTGGCTCTCTGGCTGCTGGGTACTAAACATCATACAGAATAACAGGCAGCTGCGAGGGGAGGAGACTCGGATGTCCAATGAAAGCACCGTTCACGCAGTAAAGTTGCATTTTAGCACAGAGGTGGTTTGTTTTTTTTCCACTTTAGAACATTTGATTAACAAGAGTCAAATCCGCTTTGACAGCAGTTGAATATCTGTCAACCTCTCTTGGTCTCTGTGGGCAGCAGAGTCCTGTCGCTCCAACCAGCTTAAGCCTCCCTCTCTGTAGAAATAATTAGTCTGTGAACAATCGGCAGTGAGCAATATATGACCTGTTATTTTTTTAGTTTTTTCACAATTGAGAGATCTTCTTTTTTTCATACATGACACAATGTACTGCGCAAAATGGATATGCGCACATACTGGAAGCATAATGTTGCTGAGGACATGCAAGTTGTTGAGTATACAGCAGAGCAAAAAGCGATGTTTCCCAATGTCATTGTCTTCCTTATCTTCTTGAAACATCATCTGTCACTCAGATTTGCATCTTCAAGCGCGCAACTCTTTCTTTGAGTGTGGCTTATTTCCCAGCAGGGCATCAATCTCAGTAATGGTTTGAGGGGTCATTTGGGTTAAAATCTGTAAGGAGGAAGGAAGGACGACAATCAGTTTAGAATGTGAGCTGTTACCTTTTGTCACTTTTGACACCTTCTGTTGCACGAAAAGTAGCATATCTGTTGGTTCAAACAACTATGGCTCAGTGACAGGCAAAATTATTGATTGAAATAAAATCTACCCGGAGGGCACCCAGGTTCTCAAGCAGCTGGTCTGCAGTAGAAACACCCAGAAGTACTGAGCTGACTCCCTCACTGCGCAGACACCAGGCTGTAAAACAGAGAAAAAAAACTGTGAAACCGAGGAGAAGTGGCCAAATTTAAATTTTTTGAATTTTTTACAGGAACACATGCCACTGTTATAAATTTAGGGTCGCAAAAATAAGTACATTTTATAGCAGATAGCAAAGATACATGGAGGACAAACCATGCTGTCTGAACAATAAACACTACTGATTATATGGAAAAAAAGTAATGTAATAAACTAATAAGGTCATTGATCAGGAGTAAAGTGGTTGCACACAGGCAGACAGGCCACAGGCAACATTCGTGTGAAACTCTGCCATTGCATAATCAATCAAAGCACTTCTATCTTACGTGTGAAACAGATGAACAAACATTTTGAATCAATAGCTTTAGATTCTGGCAGTACCACAAAACATTTAAGATGTAAGATTTGAGAAAAATGCTAATTTAAAACAGGTCAATCCTGACCTCCAGTCACACACCAATAAAAAAAACAAAGAAGTATCTGTGTGTCTCCAATGTACCATCCTTTTATTTGCCTGGGTCGTACCTATGGCTAACTGTGCAGCAGTGCAGCCCAGTCTGTCTGCCAGTAGATGGAGCTCCTTGATTTTAGCGAGCTGCCTGCGGCCCTCCTCGCTGTTCACTCGCTCCTTCAGCCACTGGTATCCCTTCACCAGGAGCAAAATGGAGAAACAGCATTGATACAGTACTGATTTCACACTGCAATACCCCACTGATCAGGGAGAAAATTACACTGAGGCTGGTTTTCACAGAGAGGAATCCCAGAGGAAGCCAGTCAAATCAAACTGACCTTCATTGCTGCTCTGGAGCACTCTGGTACACCATCACTGTACTTCCCTGTGATTAATCCACAAGCAAGTGGAGACCAGGTCATGGCTCCTACACCTGAAAGAGTGGAATAGGGATAGTCAATCGAATGACACAAAATTAACCTTTATTAAAAAATAAATCCAGCTAGTGAAACTGTGGATGTCTGACCGATCTTGTGGTAGAGCTCGGGAAGCTGCACCTCGACTTTATCCCTCTGGAAATAGTGATACTCTGCCTGCTCACACACAGGTGGTATGAGGTTGAACTGGCGTGCCACAGAGTACGCCTCCTGGTGCCAGGCAGAGAGAGAAACAAAATGTCATGGTTACCGATTAGCATTTATGCCATAAGCTGGCAGCATTACATAACATTTGTGAGAGTGAGCTTTTCTGAATGGGAGATCAGCATTCACCATGATTTCCATGGCACTCCAGCGTGAGGTTCCCCAGTACATGGCCATACCCTGGTTTATTACAAACGTCATGGCCCGTACAATCTCTGCAAATAACAGTATATAAAATCACCCTAAAGTAATTGTTTGCAGCTTTTTCATGCAGAGATAAAACACATGTAAGCACATATTCACACCTGACTACCACTATGACTACCACAATATCTGCAACAAGCAAACACAAATTTTAAACATCTAAAACTGACCTTCCATTGGACTGTTGACATCATTTCTGTTGGCAAAAACGATGTCCACATAATCTAGTTGCAGTCTTGATAAGGATCCTCTTAAACCTGTCATAAACAATGGTCAACGATTAATCGTCATTATCATCACCAGTTTGTTCTTTCTAAGAAACTACAGCCATGCTCTGGGGGGCTGTACTCGGACACAGCTGTGCTTTGAACTAAACGTCATCATGCTAACATGTGCACAATGACAATGCTAACACGATGATGGTGAGCAGGTATAATGTTTACTATAATCATCATATGGTTTAGTGCGTTAACATGCTAACATTTGCTGATTAGCACTAAACACAGAGTACAGTTAAAGCTAATGGGAATGTCCGTATTGGACGAATTGAAATTTTGACCTGATGATGGTGCTAGATGAAAAGTTAATGGATTAACAATTATAATTTATCCTGAGGGGGACATGAATGCCATGAATTTAATGGCAATCCATCCAACAGTTGTTGAGTTATTTCACTAAAACCTACACATGTCAACATCATTGTGGTGCTAGATGAAAATTCAGGGGATGAACAGAGTCATTAGGATAAACCCTCTAGGAAGAATGACTGTCCATCCATCCATTTCAGCTTGGACCAAAGTGGTGACCGACCAACCAACAGGCCAGCATTGCCATGCGTAGAGCAAGGGCTGACATGGTTAAAACAAGCAGGAATAAATTTACACAGTATTTTAACCATGCAGATCCCTAATAAACAGTTGCTTATGCTCAACACAATACTGGTGCCTAAAATCTATTATTTTACAGGGGGGATGCTGTTCGTGGAAAAAAAGAAACATTTCTAGATGTTGTCAAATGTCCTCCTGTGTGGCAACCTTGGGTCTGTTATTAATTCACTGTAGAGGTTAAAATCACAAATGAAGTGAAATATGAAGTCCAAACATGTTCCCTGCACATAGTTCACTCATGGCCTCAAATCAAAAGCCTCGTGACAATGACGGTCAAACAGCCCTTTCAACTCCTTGGTAAATGGTCACCTCAAGGCATTACGACTTACAAAACAAGTAACATGACCGTACAAGGCCAATAGCCTCTTAGCTTTCTGTAGGATTATTTTTGGGAGGGGGGTGCTGGAAAAACAATGTTTCTGACATGTTATTAGCAGCAACGCTTCATCTCGACATTCTCTCATCTGACCTCCTGTACTTCTGTCTTCCTTTGTCCCAGACATGAGGCAGACAGATAAAAGTCCTCATCTGATTTCACTCTGCATTTCCATTCATCAGCTTCATCATTCTCTCCTTCCATTAAATCATCCATCTCCTACTAACACATCTTTGCAACCATAAACTACAGCAAAGCAACATACTTGTTTGGTTTTGTTGTTTTTTTTCTTGAGCTGTTACGAAACTCAGTAATTTATTTGATTTTACGGCATGTTGATGTATATACTGTGACATGTGACATGGAGTGGCTCTAACTGAGCGAGAGAAACAGTGCCCACACTCAAAGATTAATCATCAAATGATTCATCACAACTCAGCATCAGGGTTGAACTAATGCACTCTGGGAAACATTGTATGTACAAGTACCACACTCTAATACAACAGACTTTTGCCCTCTAATTAATCTCAAAACCTTTCCTGATTCCTGTTTTTAACTTTTATTTTACCTGATTATATTTAAGATGTAGGATTACATGTACTGAGCCTAACGCTAACCCTGAACCTGCTCGGTTATGATTCTTTATAAATGAATTCCGGTGACTTTACTGTAAATAATTTATTATACTACCTTCAATAATGTGCTTTCTGGAGAGTCCTCTCTCTGTCTCTGCTCTGTGGAGTGATGAAAGGACATATTATTGATGTTCTGTTGAAACGGTAAATGAAAACAATGAACAATGAATGAGTGGAGAAAAAAATGCATATAGTCTTTTACTGTTGTACTTACTGGCCTCCCCAATAAATCTTTGTTGTGATGACAAAACTTGAACGCCTGGCAAGGACACAGGAGGGTTAGGAGTTAATTATGGAGAAAATCTCCTGTTTTTAACACTGTGTTAAGTATGTAAGTACAACAGATGTAGTTTCCTTCTCTGTGGTACATTAATTGTAATCTTTGGTACATTAATACATGAATATATCTGGACCCATATTGTATTTTACTTTTTCTTACTTTTGACATATTTATTTATCCAAAATAAAATATCTCAAGGGCTTCCCACATGTTTTGTGATCAGGGAGTTTATTTTCAAATTTTTATCCTTTTATAGTCTTTCTGAAGCTAAACCTCTTCATTTATCTAAAAAGCAACTTCCCTTGAGATAATTTATGGTGCGCCTGTTCCAAAAGTAATAAAAACATGTTGAAGTGCAGTGCATTTCAGGAAAGCAAGGGATTATTAGGGATTATGAAGCTTTCAAAAGATATATTCATGATCTAATAGAGTTAGAAAGCTTTTTACGTGCATGTGAATCAGTTTGGAAAAATGAGTAATATCACCTCCATCCTTTCTTCTTGATAATGTTCCCTAGAGTGATTTCCGCTCTGTGGAGAGACGCATAATTTATTGTGATGGGTTGGTGCTAACTTCAGATCACTGCACAATAGTATTACATCATACAGGAAATGTTCAGACGTGTCACATGTATGTTGAAGAATCATGAGCACATAGTTGTTCATTGAGGAAATGAAGAACACGTAAAAACTTTTAATGGATGCCTGGAGGAAAATGCAAAGGCTGACCTTCCAGAAGCGTACACCTCTGCTGTGTCAAACAGGTTCACTCCGTTCTCATAAGCTATGGCCATCAGGTTCTCAGCCATCTGGGGGAACACAAGCACTGAGACTGAGAGAGGTGGACGATGGATAAATTCCAAGTACCCTGAGGTCGCCCATTAAGGGCACTATGCAGGGAGGATAATACAGATCATATCTACTATCTCACCATGTTACTTTAGCATCCAGGTATCAGGTCTGTGGGATTTTAAAACATGTCTAAACTTGAAAACACTGAGATTTGCGCTCACATTGCAGAGTGTTTCCCACAAAAGCAATATGAGCGAACAGGCTCGGGAATTGACGTCTCGCAAAACAGAGAAAGACAAGAGAATTCTCACCTCATCAGAGATCTGCGATCCAAATGTCACCCAGGTGCCTGAACGAGAGCGGAGAGAGAGACGTTTGTTTTGTTTGTGGGGTTGAAACGGAGAGGAAAATTTTCCTGCCTTCAAACCAACTCACCTAACCCGAGGCAGGAAACACGTAAGCCCGACTTCCCCAGGTTCCTGCGGAAAATAATAAAGACAAAACAGTCTATGAAGATCAGAAATAAAGAATGGGAACAGATATGATGTGCAGGTATCTAAGATACTCTCACAATCACAGGTGAGATCTTACAGTACGCTGATGTGTGTGAGTGACAAGCAAAGAGCAAAATAATCCTGAATGATGAGAAGACTATTTTATCTTTTATGCTATATATATACAATTTTATACCTTCAGCAAATTTCAGTCAAATATTAATATGACAGCTGTGGTTACTAGCTACTGTACATTACATTAACTCATCTTTTAAAAATATGATGCATCATTATAGATTAAACTAACCAACAGTTAAAACTGGCTCAACATTTACCAGCTACAACCTTCAAATGTTAATGCAACATACTGTATTGCATAATACATTTTACCGATAATATTTTGATACAGTAGTATTTTACAATGCCACTCAGTTAGGGGAATACTTTGGTTTAGTCTTTTCTGTACATGCAAAACAAAAAATACTGAAAACTAAAACATAGACTCAATCTTTCATGGACCATAAACATACAAAAAATAAGAATTATTTTTACTACACCATAGTGTTTGTGGATATAAATATCTCCCCCACTACTGTTGCTGAGTGAAATTCTTTCTTGCCTGTGGTCAAATTACTGCCCTGTCTAATTATTTTGGAACAATTGACCTTTTATCCTTCGTATGTTAACAGTTCAGTGTATTACACTGGGTCAGTGAAACAGCTGGAGGGAACAGAGCTCAGATACAGAGTCCAGGCAAAAGCTTCCCTGCTCTGTGCGGTAAATGGCCCAAAATGTTCCATAAGCTAAAGAGGAGTCCATTACCCAACATGCCACATCTAATTATCCAGACAGCTGAATTTTGAAGGGCGAGCGGGGAGAAGCAGAAAGCTGCATTTCTGACCACAGGAGCATGCACAGCTGAAAATGGTGTGGGCTTCATGCGTGCTCTCCTCCTCCATGCATGCTCTCCCCCATTCTAATTAGCCGGGGAGCCAGCTGGAGAGGCGGCAGAACTGCAGTGCAACTTGCTGCTCGCCGTCTTTTCATCTCCAGCGCCTCTCCCCTCTCTGCCTGCCTGCGTCCGCCACAAATAGCCAAATGCAGGAAGACAGACTGTCAGAGCATTTAGACTCAGTCGAACGAGTCCTGCTTTTATTTTCTGCTGTCTATTTTTAATGCCTGACCTTAAGCTATTTTTAGATTCCTGCATATGTAAGCATTTGTGTCTGTGCCACTGTATGAGCGTTTGCTGTGTGGGGGTGTCAGTGTTCATGTGTGCACTGTGTGTGGGTGTCAAACGCATATTATTTGTGTCATTTCTTTAAACTCAAAACAAAATAGCACACAGGTGGAAGGTCAGGGATGCTATAGAGGGAAAAAGTGTAAGTTGGGTTTGATGTAGATGATTCCTTGTATGGTAATCTGGCTCTGGTTTGTCAACCAATGACAGCTTTGCCTGTTCTCTCACACTGACAGTCACTTTGAACACTGGGAGTAAATAAAAATGAGGCACATGGGAGAAAACACACTTCAGACAGCTTTTTCTAAAGCTTTTTTTTTCAAATAATTTTAGTTTTTTCATTTGTTTTGTTGTCCTTTACTGGTATTTTTTCATGACATCCATTAAAATATGCCTTTTTTGCCTCAACTTCAGAAAGGGGGAGTTAAAGCAACATTTTCGTCTAGCAACGTTTGACAAGGTTGGACCAATAACAGCATCCCCAAAAATATTACCTGCTAGTTAAAACAGCTTTACTCAGTTTCACAGCAAAAAGAAAGGCCTGAAATTCATCAAACACAGCCGCAATTAGGTCTCAGCTTCACCTGCAAGATAACGACTGTATCTGCATTCTCAGAGCAGATAAATGATGGTTAAAAGATGAATATTATATTCACTTTTCCTTATTTTTTAAACCATTATATTCGGCAAGTTGTTTGTGGGGTTATTTTCATTATATTAACTACATTTAAATTTTCAGTTTTATATCTTTAGCATTATGTAGGAAAATCCTATTATTTAGCCTGAGGCTCTCTTGCACTGGTACTAAATGTGAATTAATGACATTAATAAAGCCTAGAGACACCTTAGTCACATCCACATTATTTTCCATCCCTCCCTTTTCAATTTGTAACATGGTGAAAAAATGAAAGGGTTATATATGACAAATGAAAAAAATGAAACAACTAAACATGAGTCAGCATTAGGAGAATGTCAAGCATCTAGCAGCAACTGTTACACAAACACACTCTTTCTCTGTTTCAATGCGCTTTTATTCAGTATGCTTTTTCAAGATGGAAAATAAGCGCGTGAAGCTGACAGACCAACGTGTTCAGTTAACACCGTGCATGAGCACAACATAACAGAAGCAAGTGAGACACCAGCATGCTTTGGTGGGCGCGTTTCATGATTGCTTTGCCACATAAAATATCTTTTTTTTTTTTTTTTTGGTTTCTGGGCAATGGAGGATGTCATTGTTTCTGTGTGTGACAACTGGCCGCCCCCACCCCTGCTCTCAACTCCACCATTCTCTGCAGTACTGCAGTCTGCTAAATTACTATCAGTGAGTCTGGAGAGACACATGCTCTCTCTTCCCTCTCACTATCTCCTTCGTGACAGTCTCTCCCACTCTCTCTCATATGTGCACACAGACGCTCGGCTTATATTTCACTTGACACGGTTTTGGTGGACGTTAATGCGAAAACTGACGACTGACGAGATCTATATTGTGCAAGCGTCAGTGGGGCCGGTCGATGCTTTCACATGCACATTCACGCTTGATGGGAATTACACTCCAACCGAGGCACAGATCTACATACGGTCACGCATGAATGCACTTGTGAGCTCGCCGAGTCACAGATGCAGCCTTTATAAGTAGGACTGCTTTCTGGTCTCTTGCCTATTATTTTTCTCCCGCCATAAATCATGAACTCCAAACAAGGTGATTAAAGGGACTCAGCTGTTCCACAAATTATTAATGGAGGAGAGAGAGGAGACACACAGGTGCTCTGTCATGGTGTAGTCAGCATTTTAACCTGTGCTGACATTCACAGTTAGTTTTCACCTGAGACAGGAGGAAGACACTATATACAGATGGTTAGGCGCAAATGATGGAGGTTTTTTTTTCTGCAGTTGTCATAAAATGTCACACACATGCTGAGCAGGCTGTTCTCCAGGGGGAAGCACACCTAGATATTAATAACGATCACGTCAGTGCATGGGTGTGTGTGTGCTTATACATGCATTTTTTGTGGAGAGATGGTGGACTGTCTGTTCTCTTTTAATAATGCTGTATACACACGTTTCAGGGTTTCAAAGGGGTCAGTTCACCCAAATTACAATACAGTACATTATTTTTTCACCCATGCAGAGGTTTCTCCCTCTACCTCAATACGATGGAGGCGAATGAAATTAATTAATTTTTTAAAAATCAAAACCAACATCTTGTTTCTTTAATATCTGTCTTTGCAACTAATGGATAATCCGCTGACCTGTTAACAGTTTACAAAGGGACTATTTCTTTGGAGTAGTTTCATTGAAAAGCGAAATCTGAAGAGTATCTAGAGTATCAGGGACATTATTTCTGTTGCTGCTGAATTAAAACAAATATTGTTCAATGCTCTGAACACCACAAACAAAATCCTCTTCACTTCCATTGTAATGAGGTAGAGGCAGACATTTCAAAGACATCTAAAGACCTGGACAAATTAAACAAAAACTCTGCATTGCTAGATATGAGAAAATATATTTTGTGTATAAAGTGTGACAGCCGTCTAATTCTTGCTTCAGCTGTTATTAATGAATTAGGCTAAACAGCAGACTTTTCATGTAAGGTGATGTTTTTGAATTCAGTTATATTATAACAGTTTAGGAAAGTAGGTCTGTCCTAATTATGAAATGCACATGCTTTGAGCGGAGCAAATGGAAGGAAAAAAGCACAAAGACAGACACACACACACGCACACACAAACTCAGCTGCTCTCCTTCAAAGTTGCATCTCCACTGCTAACACTTCATTAGTGGTCGTGACTCTCCTATTAACCAAACTCGCATGTAATGAAGTGGCACAGTTGAGAGATCACGGCAGCTGATATTCAAATTGTGAACCTCTTTATATTCGTGTGAATAGTCTGTTTTTCTATTCAAAGTTTGGGGCTGGACAAAAGGATGTATATGTAGCACTCCACGGATTCTGTTTTGAAGGGAGAACTTGGTGTAAGATGTGACTGAAGGGTGAAACGATGCGAAAATGAGTTTGAACTCTCTCAATGTGTTCAAAAAGGAGTTTATTAATGAAATTCAGTGTTTGAGAAGGTCGCTGCTGCTACGTGCCGGCCTGTTATATGTCTGTTGGGAGAGAGATGAAGCCGAATATTGAAAAGATATATCAGTTTCCTGGTCTGCTGCCTCATAAATATAGACTTTGACAGCTCATGCTGAATTTCAAAAGATTAAATACTGTTGCTAAGGTGTTTTTGAGTATCAGTTTCTCTTGTGTGATTTAAAACAAACTATTTTGCTACTTTGCCACAATGAAATAAGTGGTTATATCTGTATCTTCTCAATATATTGCCCATATTCCAGACAGAATATTGGATGAAGTTGAGACTTTTTAAAGCTTAAGCTAGTATATTACTCCACCAACCTAAATAAACTAAATGTAATGATAAGATTTTAAATTTAGATCACATATTCAAATACTTTTTCAGACTTTTCCGGGACCTGTGGAGACTCTTCTTCATTATGCTTTGTTTCTGCTCTTACATAATGACATGCAATGATGATTCTGTCAGACTTTGACTAGACGGCCCATTCAGAGAATGTGATGTGGATTTTCTTGCTCTGATTATGACGCCTGCAGTCTTGTTAAACAACACTGACCCAGCAGTCTCTTTACATTTTGAAAATATTAACTTATTTGCTTTATGCACTTTTTATGAACAACAGCATCTTGCTCATATCTATTAGTATGCAGATACAATCTTCTTTGCAGTTAAGCAGCCACAAACAGATCACAGTTTGACATATTTTGGTTGCCATGCAGACTGAAATCAAGCAAGTGAAGATACAGGGTGACTTTGCCTAAAACTTGTTGCAGTGATCTCTCTTATCTGTTCAGTCAACTGGAAACTCAAAAATCTAGAGAGAGGAGAGTTGAAGGTCAAGGTTGATGCAGGATGCGCTTATCTTCTCCCCCACCCTGCTGCACAAACCATTTGTTTCCACTACGAAGCCAAATTACTTAATTATCACTTAATTATTATTCATGATGACTCCACTCTGTGAAGTTCATATTTTATCACTGTTTGGGATTCATTACCAGTTAAATACATGTGCTGTCCATAGGGTTTTTATCAAAGCAGGGAATAGGCTTGCTAATTTCTCCATAGCTAAGCTTTTATGGATGAGGCAACTCTAAAACCACATTACTTAGAGTAAATAGTCTGGGGTAGAATTATCAAACTGAGGCTGTGAAGTCATTGTACTCTCAGCATGTATAACAGGGTACAATGGGCATACTGTGAGAGTGATAAGACTGGGGCTGGATCACTGTTTCACAGCAATAAATGACCACAGTATATCTGTAAAACTCGACAGGGTTGTTCATCAGTGCAAACGACTCAATCATCACTTCATCATGTGCTGAGAGTTCAGGCTTTCAAAACTCACTGTTAGAGTGTGCTCTGATAGAGAACAGCACCTCTCTGCACAGTTTAATGTCAGGACACTTCAAATCCTGATACAAATGCAAACACATGTAAGTGTCAGCTCTCTAGCTAAACATGCAACTGAATTTCATTATTACAGTAATTTGCTTTTGTGGTATATCACCTTGCACTGGACTTTTCTATGTGTTATCTGGTTTAGCGATCTAGTTTATTCTGTGAAAACGTGACTTGTTGCATCAACTAGACAGGACTAGAGTTTATGACAACAGTGTGAAAGCAGCAGGAACACCAAGTCCTAAATATTTAGTGACAGAGATTGTTACCATAGGAATTGTTGGACAAAATAAACTTTCTACCCCATCACAGCATCTGGGGAAACTCTATGTGCTGGTGAAGACCATGAGATGTGGTTCAAAACTCTTTGAGTTGCTTGCTCTTAGTCTAAAGGGACATAGCAAGACTATAAGGGTCCTGTACTGACTGCTCTACCTCAGGCCATTGAACTGTCCAAGGAATAGTCCTAACACTTCTCTCTACCGCTAGCAGCCGTTAGCTTGGCTTAGCATAAAGACTGTAAATAGGGGAAGACAGCTAGTCTGGCTCTGTCCAAAGGGTGCGGTCACTTCCTGGAGTCTTCCGAGGAATGTTTGAAGTCCTCTTGTGACTATGAGGTTGCCAGGCAACCGGCAGAGACTCCCCCTGCTTCCAGTCTTTGTGCTAAGCTAAGCTAATTGGCTGCTGCCTATAGCTTCATATTTAGTCTACAGACACTAGATTGTCTCAGTCTTCCTCTTCCTCTCTGCCACAATGCCAGTAATTGTATTTCTCAAAATATTAAACTATTCCTTTGACATATTTGCAGCTAAATTCACTGTACACAACCAAAACTGTTGGATTTAGAAACAACAGATTGGCATTCGTGTGTCCTCATCCCTGAACTCCTTCCAGCCTTTCCTGCTGTCATTGACGTTTTATAAGCTACAACCAAAATGTTCTTTATTAGTGTGTGACTCTCTTCCCTGTGTACCACGATGTTGAATGTTTCATATTGTTTTAAATATGCCGACCCTCCTTACAAGCTTCTCCTATCACTCACACATTAAGATAGTGGCATCGATGTGTCCCGCAGCCATTGGATTACAAAAATCCATGAGAAGTGTCGAAAAGTGGCAGATAAATCTTTGCTGGAAATGCACCTGACCTGCTTACCAGGTAGCTGTTGGTGAAAAGTGAGGGCCTGGTTGCCATAGAGACGGCCAATTTGCTGAGTGACAGAACTTTGCCTGCCTGACTTGTAGACTCACCTCTCCACAGCTCAAAAAAAGACAGTTTTCTAACCATTTCAAAAGACTTTAAAATACCCAACACGGTTATATGAACATCAGTTGTTCTTTCGGGTAAAACTACATGATTATCTAATGTGACTTTATGGTTTTCTTGCACAAGCTTGTCCAAAAGTTAATGTCATTCACACAATGATCAATCCAAGTCTTTGACGATATTACTAGTATATGTTAAAGATAATGAAAAATAATGTTTAAATATTGATTTATTAGCACTTTATGTAAAGATTTATCGGGTTTTCCCTGGAGACATAAACAGCAGTAAATATAAAAAATCCCTGACCAGCTATTTCTCGGATGTAGTTTGCACATTGGTCACCTTTTCATCCCCCTTTTCCTTACCTTACAGACCACGCACAGACATGCACACACGTATTCAATGCTCCAGTGCACCACAACAGCGTTCACTGTAGTATTTTAAAGAAAATTTGAAACAAATTGAGACACTTAGATCAAAGAAATGCGATAAAGAGAGAGTCAAACAGAGAGAGTTGGGGCAGGGGGTGACAGCAGGGGTTCATGGGAGTGATAACTGGCAGCATGTGCCATCATCTGTGACCTGCCGGTGAGTGATGATTACTCATGTTAATGAGATAGCAGGAGGGATTAGAAAACACACAGTCAAACAGGGCAAATAGTAGTAACGATAGGTGCCATCTGGAAAATGGACTACGGATGAGATCCTGTTCACTTGCAACTGTACACTTATGCTCTACTGTGGTATTCATTTGGCCTCAATCAATGTCATGTCACAAAATCTCCGACATTTACTCTCTGCGCGGATACACAGATTCATACAGCATGCCGACATGTTTTATGTACATTCCTGTTTCTCCCTGACAGTCGGAGTGTGACAGCAGTGTAAAATGGAGAATGCGCGACCACTGTGCCACACTCTGTGGCCGGGTGGTGGGGCTTTGAGCGGACTCAGTTGCTGAAGGGGCTGATAAGCGACAGCAGTGCTGGCTGATTAGGAAATAAGACAGACAAAAACTAAAGGCAATGCCTGGGGTGTTGCCCCTGGCAACTGGAGCTGGCCATATGCTGTATAGACTTATTGTGCTGCTGCACTCCCCATTAGTGACACTTTTCCTGAGGCAGCAGAGCAACCAGAATAATCCAACCCAATCAGAAGTATGCATGCAGTTATCAAGGAGGGAAAAAAAGAGTAGTGGAGGTATCCAGGTTTTGTCTTGGGCCTCATTCCCATTTTAAACATCCTATTAAATGAAAACTAAATTGACTGAAGAGAATGGCAGCGATTCAATCAACCTGATTACCAGGAAAACAGGTCATTAAAACTCTCCTCCTAGTTATTGCATTTTACAGTCTAAATGAAGGGAGCAGGCGGTAGGAGGGTATGCTCTTATAGATTATGGATGCTGTGTGGTTTTTTTATGTGCTTATCCATATAGATGTGCATTATTTCCCTCTGCTCTGAGGACCCCTCTGTTAGTGGAGGCAGCTGTCCTTGTTAAGATGAGGCTCTAATCCATCAAGGTGAAGTGAATCAGATTCTTTGCCAATAACTAAGAGACAGAAAAAGAACAAATTACATTCCTTTCTTGCTGTTCATCTCATCTGTTTTACCCCCCCTCTACATTATGACTCAGACCTGATGTGTGTAACATTACTTTTCTGTGCATAGGATACTCAGCTGCACCACTATATTATGAAAATGAAATGCTTTTAAAACCTCCAGAAAAAGCTGGGTGTCCTAGGGTGATTTTAGGTAAGCAGTTATAGGAGGGCTTTTTATTAATCTGTGGCAAAGAGCAAGAGGCCAGGGTGAAATCTGCATAAAACATACAGGCCTATGGCAGATGCTCCTATGCATACTGTCTGTTATGCCGAGATAACATTATGGCTGTTTGGTATGGATTATATAAGCATTTTTACATCCATCAGTGTACGTGTTTTTTAAGGGGTAAATGTCCTATTTTTTATAATGTCAGTAAAATCACTGCTGTCTGTGCACTCACTGAGGTTGCTAATGGGTAGGCAGCCTGCACAATATTTTACAGAATGCATTTGAGCTAACCTTAAATTCACCTCACATCTCAACAGGAGATCAACAGGGACAGGAATAAAAGAAAGCCTGGCTGGTAGAGCTTTGTGATGTGAGGTTGGCTCACATCACCTGCAGAGGATTTGCCACTGATGCTCATTATGATAATATAGTACCTGCGAGATAATCTGGGGGTCAGAAGGCCGGAGTAATCAAAGCGAAATGAAAACCATCCCGCTGGTGGGAATTAACCCTCCACCCCCTTTGAAGCTCCAGCTCATGATCTCAATACTCACCTGTATTTCATACTGGTGTGGCGCCCGATGGCCTCCTTCATGTGGGCATGGCCATGTGGGACCTGACGGGACCCGGACCCCTCCCTGGTCTTGACTGATCCTTGGGACATATAGTTGCCATTACTTCCTTGTCCACTCCCTCCTCCTCCTCCACCTCCACCACCTCCTCCTCCACTACCACCACCACCTCCTCCTCCGCCACCACCTCCCCCCACTCCTCCACTGCTTCCTCCAGGAGGTGGAGCGGTGCGAAGGCCACAAAGCCGGTCCTCACTGCGACTCTTGAGGTTGTGCTCAGTGCAGGCGAAAGACACCTGCATCCTGACCCTGGTTTCTGGTGTCTCTTATTTTGAGAGTGGGAAGTCACGCAAGCAATAATGTCTGTAAACTGTTGGTGCTGCTTGACACTTCCTCCCCGGCGTGCTGTTGTGGCGAAGCAGTGATGCTCATACAAAAAGGGCTCAGACAGGGCAGGTCAGAGATTTTGGCTGAGAGTTGGAGGGAGCAGGCGAGAGTCCAGACGCTAACATGACACACACAGAGTTACCGTCTGCTCCGTCTCCTGTCTGGTGATGCTGCAAATCTGGCAAAAGGGCTGTTTGAGTTTTCACACTCACAAGATGCATCAGGGCTGCTCTCCAAAAATCATCAGGAAGCTTGTAAGCTCACAGCAGTCCTCAGACGGATTTGGGGATGTGGCAGCAGTTCTTGGGGAAAACCTCAGTGCAATAGATGCCTCCCCTGGAGAGTGTCAGCAGCTCGGCCTTTTTCCCCCACATACATGCAAATGAATGGCTTATGTTGGGGTGGTAAAGCACTTGATAGCTTTGCTGTCTTCTCTTCAGCTGAGGTTAGTTGTGTCTGTCTTGAGCCGAGGAGTTCCGGAGTGTGCCGCAGCAATGACACAATCACAGCTACAGGCATCCTCGCACCTCGCGTCGAAATAAGGCATTTTTTCTTTTTTCTTTCCTCTCTCTCTCTCTTTCTTTTTTTTTTTTTTTTGTCGCAAGGTGGGTCAGCAAAAACTCGGCTTAATTGATTTCGAATTCACATTGCCGAGGCGAGCAGTCCGTGCCGGGTAAATACACTTAAGGATAGGATGCGAATTCACACAGTCAAAGCCCACCGATGCATCATCGCCCAGCAGCCTCACGCAGCATCAAACTGATGCAAGAGAGAGAGGGGGAGAGAGGGAGAGAGAAGGAAAAAGAAATTAAAGCGCGAACACCGAGCCGAGTTTTTACCTTCAGTGTGTGAAGTCGTTCACGTACCGGCAGCAGCAGCAGCAACTGTGCAGGTCTCCCGTTATTCGACAAAATCTCACGGTGCACGGATTTGAAAAAAACGCCGGCATACTGGCCCAAAAATCAGCTGCAGCGGACATTTCAAAACGCTCGGTGCCGCCTCTCGGCTCTCCGTCATCCCTGCATCGCTTCTGTCAGTTCACACTTTCTTTTTCTTTTTCTTTTTTTTTGCTTTTCTTTCTTTCCTTTTTCCAGATGATCCAAAAAAATTTTCACGACACACAAGCAATGATGGGGGGTTTCAAGATGCTCTCTCTTTCTCTCTCTCTCTCTCTCTCTCTCTCTCTCTCTCGGGTGTGATCTCTACATTTTTCATCACACTGGTGTACATACATCTCATCACATCGTCACATTATGTTAGTGGGGCTTAAATACACATTATTGAGATTATCTGAAGAAGAATAAAACATCTTAATCCACCAGATTGTTGTTGTTGTTGTTGTTTTATTTTTTTTTGCACATAAAATGCCTGATGTGTGTTTACTATATGCTGTATAATAATATATCAGCAGTCGACGTTAGAATCGCCAGAGCTCCTCATCTTTCACACATGCCTCTGTTCTTTTCCAAATGCATGGATCTCTGTCTGTCTACCACACCCATGTTTCCATGCTTTTTTCTTCTCTGTGTATCTATATGGCCAATCACCCAAATTATACTGCAACACTATCACCACCATCACAGCAAAGAGCAGAATACACCACTTCCATGTCACATCACATCATAACATAGCATGGCATATCATATCACATTGCATCACATCACATCATATTAAAATATAACTGATGTGTCATTTGGTGGCCAGGCAATGATAATAGCTCCTTCAAGGCTGTGTTTACAACCTGAAATATGCTGCCATATCCTTAAAGAGGGCTGTCAATCCGAAAAGTTTCACACAACACAACGGTGCTAAAAACACCTCTCTCATGCAAATAAAAATGCAGACAAACATTCATCATTGGTGTCAATTTGCTCTCAGTAGTCAGTGTCTAAAGAAATCTTGCTTTGGATCAATCTGCAGTCCCAGGAAGATCCCAGAGCAGATTGCATGGCAGTCAGCTGCCAGCAGAATGTAACTTCAAGTTGGCAATCAGCTCTTTCTTTTTTAGAGAGCTATCATGGGATGAGGAAGTTTCCAGCTGTATAGGCAGAAAGAAAATGTGAATGCCACCCAATGTGATGTGTGAAAAGACAAGAAGGTTTAATGATTCTGCCGCCACGAGTTTCCCAAGAATCACTAAAAATAACAAATTCACATTATAAGTGAATGGAGACAAATCTACATAATCATTAAATCTATCATCTACACATTGGCTTAACCTTCACCTTCGCCCCAAACAATGTTCATCATCATCATCATCATCATCATCATCATCATCATCATCACTTTAAACAGCAGTGACACGCTCATCCTGCTCAACAATTCAGAAATATTGCACTAAAATTGATGACCTGAGAGCTTAATTTCACTTTCATAAAGCACCAGCTGCTCCAACTTGACAAAAATTTCTTTCTGTTCACTTTTCTGCAAATAAGAAGATTGTATGAAATGGCAGTCTCAGGAAATGAGGAGACAGATGACCATATATTTTATGGAGACACATACAACAAATTATATAATGAAGATGTCCTTGAGAGTATAGATATTTTATACAACTCTGCCATCAGACCTGGCACCAAAGCTCAGTAGAAAGCATGTTTCTTCTAACTGTGATCCTAACTGTCGCCATAGATAAAATGTTCACACTGATTTACATAATGATGATGACAGAATGCTGTCAACACTTATTGACAAAGTGCTGTAAATCTCTTGAGTGAGGCTTTCTGCAAATAAATAGGTCCACTAATTGACTTTAAGTGAGCCTACTTCCTGCTATTAAGTCATCATATAGAGTAGATCAGATTTAAGTAGAACAGTGTGTGTTATTCATTTGTAGGATTTATCACTTTCAACTATGTTTTCATTTTAAAACACACAATTTGCAGAAACAGGGTGGCATAAGATGTAAAATATTGTTAGTTTTGAAATGCATAAATGCTGTCCAACAGGAACTGTAGTTGGAGTGGAGTTGACTATTTTTCTGGTATCTGCAGAGATGCTAACAGCTGGTTTTCACTTCCCTGGACTGAAGCAGAAATAAAGAATGCTGAGAATTGTTTGTGCCTCTGCGTGAAATGTGCATGTAGTTTAGAAAAGATGAAGGCATTTATCCTCACTCAAACTGTAACTTTGAAGTATTCCTTCAGAAATCTTGTTTTTCTTGTGGTTCTGGTTCATCTTAAAAACGATTCCGCTTTGCATTAAGTTTGTCAAAAGAAAGGACAGTCAGAGGACAGCAATTAAATGCTTTTAGTAGAACTGCTTTTAATTAAATCTGTCACAAATTCAGAATACATCTGACAAACTGTAATATGTTCAAATATGTTTAAATATGTTTAACCTTTAAGCTTTGTTTTATTCAAAGACAAGATTAGGCACTCAGCCCTCATAATCTGTTTGTCAAAATGTAAGTATCTGTCTCTCTTTCCCAAATTTGCTTTGCACGCAGGAGATCAGCGGATGTGGAAAATTGCTGTTTCCAGCAAAACCAGCAAATTGGAGAGCCTGTCAAGGTAGATTGTTAGCTGTTGTGTTGATTACAAGTAATCACTTTCAGTCACGGGGGAGTTTAAATGGGATGCATCATTATGAACCACATGCACAGAGGCTGTAGAGACGGCTGCCATTACAGACATGATGTGGAAGAGGAAATACACAAGAATCTGTTCAAGTGATGGAAGCAGTGTTTCCTGATGTGAAGGAATCACTTTAACTGCATTATGGTCAGATATGTCATTCACTTATTTCAGTTACCAAGTATATGCTGCTAGAAAATGCTAACAGATTATATGAGGCCTGTTTTCTTTCATTTGTTTTTCTTCAAGCTGCAGATTTTGATATTTTTCCTGGTTTTGAGTCATTGTGCTGACTTGTCTTCACACTGGGAAGACGCTGCCACCTAGAGGCAATTTTACAGGAGTCTCAATGCTTGTGTGAGTCTGTTGGGATGTACTAAATAAAATGCCATATTGTGTCATGACAGCCCTGTTTCCTAAAAGATTTATATATGGCCGAAGGTTTATATATGCCTACTGTTCCACAGCCAGTAAATCACGAGTGACATTCACAAGTAAGCCATTCTTCTAGAGATATTCTTAAATGCACACAAATCTACAATGATTAAATATGTAACAAAATGCTGTACATGCTCATGCTGTGATTTATGTCATCTGTGTAGTTTTAATCCAACATTTTTCAGTAAAAATTGATTAATTGCCATGTTTTCATCCCAAAATAGCTCAACTGAGCACTTTAAACTGAGAGATACAAGCACTGTAACAACCAACTGTGTGTCCCCTGCTGTCAAATCATGCATCATTAACTCTAAACTTCTGCCCCACTGATGTTGACCCTGTCAAGCTGCCTTTTGAAGTACAAATGTGACAATGGTTGAAGTCCCTTGTAAGTTACTGTATCTGACATTAACATTAGTGATCCTGAAGAACCTGATGTTTTCGCAGTCCAGCCACATTTATTCAGCACGACGGTGCTTTGAAATCTCATCAAACGCGTGATATTTCTTTCTAGGTCACTGGTGGGAAAAAAACTGCAAATATGTTTCTTTTTTTTCCCACCCATGAATGATGTCTCCACTCACTGCATTCAATTGCAGTCCTCTTCAAACACTCAACTACATCCATGCACTAGGAATATATTAGAAAAATATTAATCATGTTATTTAAATGGGTCATTAACAGATGAATGCTCAGGATGGTCTGATTCTCTCTCTCTGACTCTGAATCCAACGTCTCATTAAATCTGCAGGTATGGCAGATTATGTACATGTATCGTTGCTATTTGCCATCATTTGCCATGCAGTTATGTTCTCATTCTCTTTAACATGCAGGTTGAGAGACATTATAAGTTAAAACTATGAAGAAAGGTTTAATTTTATTGTATTTTACATACTACATCTGTCATTACTAACATGTTTTTATTCTCAAAAATCAATATATCTGTGTCTGTACTTCCCCTTTCCCCATCTTTTCACCTCCCTCTTACCTGTATGTCATTGCAGAGCACTCAGCCTTGCACTCAGCCAGGGAGAGGCCACATTCCCTGAGGAAGAGCTCCAGTCGGCGTCGCTCCACCAGCCTGTGCGCCGCCTCCAGGATCTGAGAAGCCAGGGCCTCTGACTCTGTCCTCTGTTCCGGGGTCTTGCTGCTCCGGGCTCCAGCTTTGGCCACAATACTCCCTGAGGAGGTCGACGCCTTGGGCTTCTTACTGATGCCATAGAGGTCTTCAACTGAGTATTTCCCTCCCTTACCTCCCCCAGTACCACCACGGCTGGCAAACATTGTTATCTGGAGTCAAGTGCTGGAAACTGATGAAAATGGTTCCTCTCTTTGGCTCGGTTTTGCCTGCTACATCTACTTCAGGCTTCTAAATTAGAAACAAGACAACAAGGCAGTGCTATTTTGATAGAGATTCGGGAAAAATTTGAAACATCCGACCCGAGCATGTCAGACATCAAACTGCTTGAGACAAGAACTTAAAGCACCTGTGAAATATCAAAAAGTCTTGATTGCTCCTTTGTGGAGTCTAAATCCAAAATAAAACAAAGGCAGTCCCAACATTTCAGTGGCAACACCCAGTCACAATAACTCCTGCTGATGTGAGGTGCTTCTTTGAGTAAAAATGGATAGGAAAAGCAATCAGCATCTTTCTGTCTTTATCTCTTAAAAGAGGGATTTGTGTTGAAGCCCCACCAGCTTGCATTTGTTCAGATTAAGAGAGCGCCCGGATGAAATATCTGTACTTCTGTGGCTGCAATGTAATCTGACTCAGTGGAGGCTGTGAGAGTTCTCACTCTCTGACCTTTTCTTTTTTTGATTAAACTTTTGTATTGCTTTTTCAGCATTTGAACATATATTACAACTTTATAAACAATATAATTCCTATAACATTCCTCTTGACAGGGTGAAACAGAGGCATCATACAACAGTATTACACCTCTTTTTTATCCACTGAGCACAAATGATTATATGATGCACAGAGAACAGAGACACAAGGATATTAATTGTCACTGATCATCTTAATCTATAATCTCTTAATATTCTCTAATGGTAAAA